GATGGGATGAAAAAGGTTGATGAGGAAGATCTGCTTCGGGGCATGTGAAGCACCGTGCGCGTGGTCGTCGAAGTTCTTGACCGCTCGTCGTCAGAAGGGCGTTGCGTTCTAACACCTCTGCTTGGATTGTTTGAAGTATTGTGCTGTTTGCAGGGTGTCCGAGGCGTTGGTGCCAGATGTCGTCGGGAGCACGGTGACCGGGCGAGCGGTGGTAGATGTCGGCGTTGGAGAAGAACGCGACGACCGAAGCGGGACTTCGGCAAGCTTCTCGTGTGGCGGGCATAAGTTGGTCTGCTTCGGTTGGCGGTCCTCGTGTCGCTGGTTGTGGTACTTGGCTGGGTCCTGCTGCCGATACTGCAGGTGATGGTTTTGTTGGGACACTTGCGGGTACTTGTCTTTCTTGTCTGATAACTGCTAATGCTCGTGTTCTCTCTGCTGCAGGTATGGTGTTGGAGTGCCAGAAGCCGTCACTGTCGAAGTCGGGATCAAGATCCGGCGGGTGAGTCCAGGCGGCGAATGATACGATACCGTCACTGTCGGCAGTACCGCGGTCGGGGACGAAGTCCAACACGAAGACGCCGGATTTCAGGAGGGCACGACCGATGAAGAGGCCTCCCTTCCCGTGGTAAAGTCGGAACTCGTTGGAGAAGGAGTCGCACTCCAGGTGAATCCCCTTAGCCATTAGTTGGCTTACGCTTAGTAGGTTGTATCCCAGATTGTCGACGATGAGGACCTTGTTGAGCTGAAGAATAACGTTTGTCTCCATTGATTGTAACTGAACCACGCCTTGTCTGTTTGTTTTCAGGTTTTCGTTGTTGGCGACGGTGATGACGACGTCGCGGTTGAGGCGTCGCTCGTGTTGTACGAAGCGTCCGGAGGAGCACATGTGCTGACCGCAGCAACTGTCCAAGAACCAGGTGTTCCGCCCGGTGGGTTCGGCGTTAGCGACTGCAGCGTATGTCGGGTTGACCTGAAGTCCTTGCGAGCGCGGCGGCGGGAATTCCTCTTCGTCTGGTGCGTAAGTGGGTGGTGAATCGGGTGCGCAATTGTCGATGTGTACCATGCAGTTGATGATGTTGGGTGTTTGTTGTGCAGATGTTGAAGAGCGCCTTGGAGGACTTGCTTGAGTGGAAGCGACTTGTGGGTCTGCTGCACGGTAAACGCGAGGGCGGTTGCAGTTGACCTTGGAGTGCCCGGAAGTCTGACAGTTGTGGCAGAACGGCGGCACGATGGTGAGTCCTCGGTTGTCGCGTTGATCTTGCTTGCTGCGTCGGTTGTAGTTGTTGTCATTTCTTCTTTGAGTGTAGAAGACTAACTGCTGTTGCTTCCTTGGTTGTCTTTCCTCGAACAGATCCATCTCCTGTTGTTCAGCGTGAAGCTCGGCGCAGAGGTGCATCTCCGAGATTCTTCCGTGGGCTCGAAGAAGTGATCGTGTGGTTCTCCATTCTGGCCGGAGCCCGGCGAGGACAAGTGTCACGAAGCTTTCTTCAGTGATCGTTCCTCCGCACCGAAGCAGGCGGTCACGGAGGGTCTGGCAGCGACTCATATACTGCATCGCCTTTTCCCCGGTCTTCATCTGTATTGTTGTCAGCTGTTGCATGAGTCTGCTTTGTGTCACGCTGTCGTTTGCTTGGTAAAGGCACTTGAGGTGGTGCCATGCGAGCTCCGCGGAGTTTCCATAACTCCGATACGTTCTGATGCTCTGCTGCTCTTGTGGTGACAGGTTTCTCAGGAGTACCGTGTACGCCAGCAGCGACTGATATGTGAAGATCTCTTGTTCCTTCCCAGTGCCGTTGCTTGGGAATGGCAGGGACCCGTTGAAGTATCCCAGAAGATGCGCGGCCTCCATCAGCAGCTCGAACTCGAAGCTCCAGGTAAAGAAGTCGTGTCCGTTGAACGGTGAGGATGTCTGAAGTTTGATCACGTGTGAGAACTGCGCCTGTAAACTTAAGATTTCATTCGGTGTTTGTTGTGATGCAGCTGCTGTTGGCTGGGCACGGGGCGGCATGAATTCGAACGTCCCCGGCGAAGAATGATAAGGCGCAAAGGTAGGCGCTTGGTTGTGTCGCCCGAAGGATGAGTTGTCGAGGCTCATCGGCGCTAATCCCATATTCCCTCCATTGCTCTGTGTTGAGTGCGCAGGTGTCCTTGTCTGCTGCTGCTGGTCGAAGTGTGACATGAAGCTGAAGAATCTCTCCATGAGATTCGGGTCCACACTTGAAGAGGGAGACGGAGTCACCATCTCTGGTACTCTTCCCGTTGTTTCTTGAGTAGTCCCGGTCTCTGTCTGCAGTCCTGAGGTGTGCAGACCAGAGTTGCCGTGTTGAGTTTCTTGGGCGCTGGGTGAGCCCGTAGAGACTTTCTTGCCCTTGTTGTCCATGTCTTGTAATCAATGGAGTTGTTGAATCAAGTTGAGTTGCTGGTTGTTGATGGAGTGTAGTTGCTGGGAGTTTTGGTCTCTGACCAGCTCTCATACCATGTTGGGCCAAAAAAAAGCCCTTAGGATCTTTTGCAGAGACTAAGTCCCAGCTGTAGGGACTTGAGACTTGGAGTAGTGCAGCGGAAGTTGAGACAGTTGAACCCTTGTACTAGTATGTGAGAACAAGTGATTAATTAAAGAAACAAGCATACAGCAATATATAGAAGATAAGAAAGCAGTTGCAGAGTACAGTTACAGGAACGGTTTATCGAGTCGCATAGCGACTCGATTGCCGCTTCGGTTACCATCCGTGATGCTGTAACGGTCAGTCGCAACCTCCAGTTGCGACCCTTTGAGTCCCAGACCCTTCGTGTTCTTTGTCCGCCCCCTCGTGTAACCTCCGTTGACTCGCGTACCCCTTGCAATCTTCCTCGAGTGTAGTGTTACACTTCAGAAACGCTTAAGTCTTTTGATGTACTTTCAACACTATCTATAAGGTCTCCTCTTGTTTTGAAGGCCCCCTATTAGGATGATCTTGTTGCATGCGCTTTTTCACTGAAATAAGAAGATTCGAGAAAGATAATTTTCTGAAACATCTGCACTGTGAAGGACTGTTTTAAGTTGTCATTGGCTATGCATTCATTTTGATACAATGATGGGCCTGATCCACAGGTCACCGCATTCTTGATGCGATAGTGCCACCACAAAAACGACGACTCTAGAATGGTAGAAGAAGCGCCCAAGAGGACAAAGAAGCATGTCCCCACCCAGGCTTCTGGCGACGCTCTAGAATTAGGGACTATCAGCACAATTGTTTTATATAAAGGTATAAAATGTTTCTAGAACATAACGAATTTGATAGGAATGGAGTAAAATGTATGTGCACTTAGTTAGAATTGGTGTAATGCTTGAGAAAGCCATTGTACAAGCTAATTGATTCATGCAAGTCGAGCCGAGTTGTGATTCTGCTTGAATTGAAGCAAACCACATGGTGCAAGCGAGAGGCTTGGAATCCACCAACTGTTCAGCGATGCCCATGACAGCGAGGCCCAACAGTTTGGTTCGTTCGAAGCGCAGATGAATGGTTCGGCATGTACGCTCAGGCCGACCTGCTGCAGATGGACGGTACTGATACGCCTGACAAACCCACAGGACGGTTTCGATCAGGCCTCTCGCTAAGGGCGGTCCAAATAGTTCAATTGGGGGTTTTGGACACGTTTTTACGAACTCGGGTACAAAACTTGAAAACGATCCCGAAATCATTTCCCCCCAAAACCGCGTCCCACATTGCGAACGAAAATAGAGACGGGGGCCAACTGGGTGCGTCACAGAAAAAAAAAACGGTTCGCCTCAGATGCCCCAAATCGCAGTTACCAAATGCTGAATCTGCGAGACAGATCTTTCGTGCTGGGCTGGTTGGTATTTGCGATTTGGCGTTGCGCCACGCGAAGTTTTCGTCATTTCGCCTTGTTCTCGTCAAGCCCGCCTTGGCGAAACCCTAAATTGCCAATCGTGTCTACCCGCCCCCCATACGCACACCTATCGTCACCCGAATCGTAGACGGATCTAGACTGGGGTACATGTACCTTCACATTCTTCGACCGTCCCGAGTTACGGAAAATTCGCGCACCTGTCCTGGCGAAAGCAGCGCGATGTTAAAATCGGGTTACTTTTCAACAAATGAATAGAGTGTGAACTTTTTAGACCCGCCCTAAGCCCCAGGGTATTCCGGAAGGGAAGGGAATCGCCTCTGGATAGCCCGGTAACAGACGGAATCCCCCCGAAACAACCCGTTACCAAAAGGCCGCTACAAATTCGGCTAGCAAGGAGTGAATGATCAGGAGTTGGGGGGGAGGGGGGGGGATGGGAGGGGGGGGGGGCGGGGGGAGTGTGTTCGGAGATCGCTACCTCCTACGGATTGCCCTACTACAACTATAGCCCGTATAAAATATAAACCACTCGTTAGGCTAAGGAATCACGCGATATTGTTTCCGTAAGTTGGACGGACTCGGAGAAACATCGCACCGTAGAAAAACGGAATCGCAGGAAACGTTACTCTTAAGTTCTCGACATTAAGAGTAATTACCCTATTAACGAGAGGCCTGGTTTCGATGCCCCATCCCATCAAAACACAGGGGAAGGGGTTCTCCGATCCAGAATACAGAACTGTGCTGCTACACCTGAGTTCCCCGGGCCGGAAGTCGAGGTTCGGATGGAGGCGAAGATCCGATTGTTGCGCACGTCAGGGGCAGGTGCCCCTCGGTGCCCATTGCTCAACGAACCAACCGCAGTTTTGTGCTGGCCTACTTGGTTTCTCCCATACCGAACTGAACCGAGCTCGTCTGGCCTCTACCTCCGGTACCGAACCGAATTAACAGGAGACATGTGTGTGGTTTGGGCACGTTGGGAATGTTGACGGCTCGTCATTTGTTCGCATGGACGGGAATCTTCGTGTATTGTAGGCGGGCTAGGTGAAATCGCGTTTTCCCCGTAGAAACTGCTTGGTTGATTGCTTGCTTGCTTCTGCTCTGTGCTGCTTTCCCCGCAAAATCGGCTACTGTACCATATTCCCTCTGCTGCAGGTCTCTCACCTCGTCGTCTCTCTGTTCAACTACAGATCCATCTTCCACTCTTCACTTTCCCTCCTGCTCAGCCTCACCCCTCCGAATCCAGCCCTCCCCCCCTACTATCCCCAGTCCAGTCCCAGGCGGACGGTGGTCGCAGGGCAGAGAGAAAGGGCAAGAGAAAGGGAAGAGAAAAGGCAAAAGAAGTCCATTGCCGCAGGTCGTCTCGTCGTCGGTCGTTGCTAATCCGTCCGGGAAGACGCACACGGTCATCTTAAAAGCGTCTAACGGCCTAAGAGCGTGGTATTTTGAATTTACAATTATCGCAACTTGCTGCGGGTAGTCACGATCCTGGTGCTCCGCTCCTGCGACCTGGTACTCCGCTCCTAGGCACATTATCTACGAGGCGGCGTGTCGCTAGGGCTTGCTGGCTTTTCGAACATTTTCGAGCCGAGAGCTTCACGCGTAACTCCGCGGCTGAGAAGGCGAACGTGACGGAAGCTCAATCCGCGCAGCAGCAGCCTCGTTATTACACGTATCGACATCATTATTAGACGCTTCAGGCTCGACTACATCTTTCGATCTTCACCTCATCGCCTCTTCTCTATAACCGCCCGGCCGGCGGCAGCAAAGGCGCAATGGGGAAGCCCCGACAGCCGCGCCTCCCCTCCGCGTTCCGCCTTGCGCCCAGTAGTAATCGTGCGCGGGCCATGCTCGCGCCCCTGACTTCCGCCAACCTCTCTCTGTTGCTCCTCCTCGCGCTGTTGCTCCGCCACGCGCCGCTCGCCGCGGGCCTCCTCCGCCTCAAGACCCCCGAGCAGCTCGGCTACTCATTCCCCTCCGCCGACTCCGACTTCGGTAAGTCTTCCCGGGGACGCAGCTGTGCTGACTGGTGACGGTAGACAGTCTACTAGACGTCTCACGGTGCGTGTCAAGACCTCCCAGCAGCTCGGCTACTACTTCACCTCCGCCGACTCCGACTTCGGTAAGGCGACCCGGCAGTACTACGACGGCACGAAGCCGGAGTCGGAGTCGGAGGTCGGGAGAGAATTAGGGACGTGTGTGGTCGGCAGAACTACGACTGCTGCAGAACTATGACTGCACGACATGGTCGATCGTATGGTAGATCCCCCAGTAGCTCGGCTATTCCTTCTACTCTGCTGATTCCAATTTCGGTAAGCCAATTACGGTACTAGGTTTGCACAGCACGGTTGGTTGTTTAGCGAGGCAGCAGCTCGGCTACTGCTTCCCCTGCTGAAAGTTTTCCGAGTATGGGAACGCGCCTCAGCAGGGGCGCGTTCAGCAGCGTAACCGCAGCAGCGTAACCGCAGCAGGGGCGTCTCAGCAGCTTCTCAGCAGCTTCTCAGCAGCTTCTCAGCAGCTTCTCAGCAGCGTCTCTGATAGTTGTCGGAGAATGAAGAAAGCTGGCTCGGAATGTGGTACGCTCCTCTTGCCCTTTCCGCTTCGTCTTCATTCTCCACTCCTCCTTGCTCGGAATGTGCTCGCTCCTACTCCTCTCCATCCTCGCTATCCAGGTCCTGTCATCCCTTTCAGCGGCATCTGGGGAAGGCTGTACCCGGCGCTACCGGCCAACGCATGCCAGCCGATTCAGAATCGCGTGCCGCGCGGCGTCGTCCAGTTCGCGCTGATAGCGCGCGGGGACTGCGCTTTTGGGCGGAAAGTGCAGAATGCGCAGCTCGCGGGGTTTGCTGCGGCGGTGGTCTACAATAACGAATCCAATCAGGACCTCGTTATAAGTGAGTGAGAGGTCAGACGGAAGCGTGTCAATTCACGATGATGTCCTCTTTGCCCTCAAAGCGTGTCCTCTTTGCCCGTCACATCCTCGGAACCCTGTCCCGCTCGGACTCCTCACATCCTCCCTCCTTTTCCCCATTTCCCCACAACCTCCTATCCCCCATCCCTCCTCCCTCTTCCCCCATCCCCCCTCCCCCTTTCCTCCCCCAGTGACGGAGAGCCAGCGCACGGGCGTCATGATCCCATCCGCGTTCATCTCCCTGGAAGCCGCCTCCACCACGCTCTCAGTCGCACAGCCCTCAAAATCCAGCCCCTTCCCCCTCTCCCCCTCTCCCCCTCTCCCCTCTCCCCCTCTCCCCTCTCCCCCTCTCCCCCTCTCCCCTCTCCCCCTCTCCCCCTCTCCCCCTCTCTCCCTCTTATCCCCCCCCCCCCCCCCCAGTGACGGAGAACGAGCGCACGGGCGTAGTGATCCCATCCGCGTTCATCTCCCTGGAAGCCGCCTCCACCGTGCTCTCAGCACTCCAGCCGTATCCCGACAGCATCGCCATACTCTACCCCTCCGAGACCTTCCTGCCCGCCTCCGCCTACTCCTGGTCCTTCATCATCTGGATATCCTCCCTCCTCGCTGTAGGCATCATGCTGCTAGCGTTCCTATGCGTGTGTCGGTATCGGATTCGCAATGCAGTGGCAGGGGCGGCGGCCGCCGCGGGGGTGAATCCTGCTTTCCTGCCGATCCAGCTGACGTCAGCGCCGGATAAGATGACCATGGAAGAGGTCATGGCGCTGCCCGAGAAGACTTTTTCGGGGCTGCCCGGTTCCAAGCGGGCAGAGGTTGAAAATAAGGGCGGCAGCAGCAAGGGTGCCAGTAGTGAACGGGACAGAAAGGAGGAGGTGGCAGTCTTAGGAGGAGAAAGGGCAGAGGACTGTGGGCAGAGTGACTCTACAGAGCGGGGCAATGGTAAGGAGAAGTATCCTATGGAGAGCTCCCAGAGTGATGGTACCACAAGAGCCGCTGAAGGAAGGAGGCTCTCGGGTGACTACAGCAAGCAGGGCAACAGGGAACTGGGAGACGTGGAGTTGGGTCGGCAGGGCAGCGTGCGAAGCCGAGTGTCGTTCTGCAGTAGGGACGAGAGGGAAAGGGGGGAGGGGGCGGAGGGGGAGGAGGAGGAAGTGATCGTCAGGAGCACGTGGGAGACGTGTGCCATCTGCCTTGAGGACTATGCGTGTGGGGAACGGCTGAGAGTCCTGCCATGCAGCCATGGTGAGAGTCCTGCCATGCAGCCATGGTGAGAGTCCTGCCATGCAGCCATGGTGAGCGTTCAGCAGTCATGCCTTGCCCGCACCCATCACATATCAGCAACGTCATGCAGCCATGGTGAGCATTCAGCGGTCCTGTTTTGCCCTCCTAATGGTGTAGAGAAAGCATTCCGTTTCTTTCCCCCGTCAGCCATCAAATCTTTATCCTGCTCAACCTCCTCTTCCTTCTCTCCCTCAGCCTCTGATGCTTCCTCCGAACCATGATGTTGTCACTTGCTTGCCATTGCCTTCCATCCCTCCGCTGAAATCTCCGTTCTCCCTCTGCACCCCTCTGCACCCCTCTCCACCCCACTGCAGAGTTCCACACTGAGTGTGTGGATGAATGGCTCACAACCCGCCAGCCCTTCTGCCCTGTCTGCAAACGCGTTGCGCGAGCCCAGAAAAAGACAGCACAAGAGGCGACCGCCTTATCTGCCTCTACTTCCTCCTCCTCTTCATCATCATCGTCCAATGACTTGGAGATCGCGAGCGATATCCAGCTCTTATCACATGTATCTTCGGAATCAACCATCCCCGAGGCGAGTCGTCATGGATCGAGCACTGGGCTACAAGCGCAAGATGAGGAATCATCACGGGCTGTGCAAGGGCAACAGGCGGAGGGCAATATGGTGATAAACGTGGAGAATCATTCAAGCGCACAACCACTTGTTGCTGCACATTGATTTTATCAAAAAATTAGTTACACAAGCTTGGGTATGCTTATTTTGTAATACTTTGGCATTACCCAAGCAAGCTTTCATCATTTTCGTGTGTTATTCGGTAATGAAGCTTGTTCTTCCAGAAGTACAGTACATGCTGGCTACCTGAACATCCAGGCGCCGTGGTGCCACGTTGGCTGGCTCTCTCATACCAGCCGTTCGCAAATGGCGATCGACGTCGCGAGTTTTCGTCACGCCGTCACGAGATTCGTCACGACGTCGCGAAGAGCAGCACCTCGAGACTTGGGCCTCGGTTGGGACCGCCAGGCAACTGCGCAGGGGTTGGTTTGGGTGGGTGTGAGGGAGGCCCATCCATCTGCCGTTATATTCCCTTCTGGCGGAAGCCCCTGCAGGACTCGTCAGGTCACTCGACACTTGACTCGACTCGACTCGAGCAAGGCCCATCCGCGCGAGTCAACGTCCACCAGTCTGCAGAGCCTGCACGGTTGTAGTCGTCGTCCCATCCCCTTACCTGCAGGCTAGTCCGAGCAACCAGCAGAGCTGCGCAGAAGATGGCCCTTGCAGCGGGCCGGGGTCGTTTGTCACCCGGACCGTCGGGGTCCGGGTTTGCTTGCTGTGACTGTAAAACGCCGAGTACAGTATTACCCTAGACTCTAGGGTAGAGTCGCTTCGGAAGCGTCGTTGTGTTTCCGGCTCTCATTCATCGTTACTTGCCGCGGGTACCTCCTTAGCGATCCACAGCCGTATCGCCGCTAGGGTTGATGTAGAAGCGCCGTTGTGTTTCCGACTCTCATTCATCGTCACTTGCCGTCTCGCTAGGGTTTGCTGTCTCTCCGAAAGTCTTCAAGTACAAAAAAGTTCGCGTTTGCGCCTAACCCGCGGCTGAGAAGCCGAATGCGACGAGAGCATTTTCAGCGCAGCAGCATCCCCCGGGTATCTCACGCCTCGACTTCAGCATAGGCGCTTCGACAGCATCGACAAAGGCATCCCCGGGATTACTTGCATCACTTCCTGCCCCATCGCCTCCGCTCTATCGCCTCCGCTGGCAGCAGCAGAGGCGCAATGGAGAACCCCCCGCGTCCTCCCTCCGCATTCCGGCGCCGCCTTGCATCCCGTTGTAGTCGTGCGCCCGCGCCCCTTGGTTCCGCCAGCCTCTCTCTGCCGCGCCCCTCTCTGCTGCTTCTCGCGCTGCTGCTCCGCCACGCGCCCGTCACCGCGGGCATTCTCCGCCTCACGTCCTCCCTGGTCTGGTCTGCCGACTACTCGTTCCTCTCCGTCGACGCCGACTTCGGTAAGTCCACCGTAGGTTGGTAAGTCCAACTTGAATTTTTTTTGAGACGGTAGGTTGTTCAGCAGAGGCCGCGAGGTGACTTTTGAGTCGACTCAAAAGTCACCTCGTTACTAATTTGAGGCGGTAGGTTGGTCAGCAGAGGCCGCGATACCCGCAGCAGGTCGCTCGTTCGAGAAGAAATCGTGAGGCCACTGGAGGAGAAGAAAGAGTATGCTGTATGTAGCTTTGGAAGCTGGTGCGCTGATCTAGCTTCGGAAGCTGGTACGCTGATCTGATCTAGCTGGCATCCTCTGACCTATTTCGCGCTCCTCCACTCCCTCTCACTCCCTCTCACTCCCTCTCACTCCCACTCACTCCCACTCACTCCCTCTCACTCCCTCTTACTCCTCCCAAGGTCCCGACATCCCTGTCCCCGGCATCCGGGGGAAGTTGTATCCGACGATACCAGCCGATGCATGCCAGCCGATTCAGAATCGCGTGCCATTCGGCGCCGCCCGTTTCGCGCTGATTGCGCGCGGGAGCTGTTACTCTGTTGAGAAGGTGCATAATGCGGAGCTCGCAGGGTATGCTGCGGCGGTGGTGTACAATAACGAATCTGATCCAAAACTCCATACAAGTAAGTCACTACAGGTAAGATCACTGACAAGAAGTGATCTTATGGTCAGCAGCTTAATCACAGTCGTATCTCCTTTGCCATCATCCCCCCCCTGTCCCCCTATCCCCCTGTCCCCCTATCCCCCTGTTACCCTACTACACTGAGAACCCTCTCACATCCCTCTCACATCCCTCTGACATCACATCACGTCCATTTCACCATTTCCAGCTTTCCGCCCTCTCTTTAGCCTCAACCCCTCCTCTCACCTATTCCCCCTCCCCCTCTCCCCTACCCCTCCAAACCCCGCCTGCGCCCCCTTCTCCGCGTTCCCTCCACCGTCTTCCCCAACGGCGCAGGGTCAACTTACGGGCATCCACTGTGATTGAGGCAAGACCAGCTCGAGGCACATCCAGGTCGAGGCCGCCTCCACCAAACCCCGCCTGCGCCCCCTTCTCCGCGTTCCCTCCAGCCGTCCAGCCGCACTCTTCCAACTCCATTGCCGTCCCCTCTTCCCCCTTCTTCCCCCTTTTTCCCCTCTTCCCCCTTTTTCCCCTCTTCCCCCTTTTTCCCCTCTTCCCCCTTTTTCCCCTCTTCCCTCTTTTTCCCCTCTTCCCCCTTTTTCCCCTCTTCCCCCTTTTTCCCCTCTTCCCCCTTTTTCCCCTCTTCCCCCTTTTTCCCCTCTTCCCCCTTTTTCCCCTCTTCCCCCTTTTTCCCCTCTTCCCCCTTTTTCCCCTCTTCCCCCTGTTTCCCCTCTTCCCCCTTTTTCCCCTCTTCCCCCCCTCCCCCCCCCCCCCCCCAGTGATTTCGATTCTGCCTTTGAGCATCACGATCCCATCGGCCTTGATCTCGCTCGAAGACGGGCTCACTATTCTTTCAGGCGCCGAGTCCCTCCAGCACCTCCTCGCTACCCTCTATCCCACCGACCCCGACACCATCTGGCCTTCCTCCAGGTCCCCGCCGTCGCTCCCCTGGTCCCCGCCCTCCGAAAGCTCCTCGACCATCGTCATATGGATCATGGTCCCCCTCTTTGCACTCATGATGCTGCTTGGGTGTGCATGCCTGTGTTATAGGCAACAGCGTGCGGAGGCAGCAACGGAGGTGCAGCCGGCCGACGCAGAGGGGAATCCGGCTGTCTCGCCGACTCGGCTGACATCAGGAGAAGGTGTTCCGGCTATTGGGTCAACTCAGCTGACGTCAGGAGGAGGTCCTGCGCCTGTCTTGCCGACTCAGCTGACGTCTTCTACAGATAAGATGACCATAGAGGAGGTCAGGAAGCTCTCCGAGAAGACTTTTACGGGGCTGCCCTGTGCCAAGCGGGCAGGGGCTGAAAATACGGGCGACAGCAGCAAGGGTGACAGTAGTGAAGGGGATAAAAAGGAGAAGGTGGCAGTGTTAGGAGGAGAAAACGCAGAGGACTGTGGGCAGAGTGATTGTAAAGAGCAGGGTAGCAGTAAGGAGAAGTATCCATTGGTGCGGCTCCATACTGATGAGCACTCAGGTGACAACAGCACGTGGGAAGACATGGAGTTGGGTCGGCAGGGCAGCGTGCGGAGCCGAGTATCCTTCTGCAGTAGGAGCGAGCGGGGGCGGCTGGAGGGGCGGAAGGGAGGGGAGGGTGGGGAGGAGGAGGTGATCATCAGGAGCACGTGGGAGACATGTGCCATCTGCCTTGAGGACTTTGCGTCTGGGGAACGGCTGAGAGTCCTGCCATGCAGCCATGGTGAGAGTCCTGCCATGCAGCCATGGTGAGAGTCCTGCCATGCAGCCATAGTGAGCGTTCAGCAGTAGAATGTAGAGAAAGAGGGCTCATATCTGTGGCCCAAGTTCTTTCCCCCACCAGCCATCATTTCCGTGTCCTGCTCGACCTGCTTACCCTCAGCCTCTGATTTCTTTCCCAGACCCTAATGTTGTTTCTTGCTTACCATTGCCCCTCATCCCTTGCTTACTGTCAAATCCCCCCCCACCCCCCCCACCACCCCTCTGCACCCCACTGCAGAGTTCCACACTGAGTGTGTGGATCAGTGGCTCACAACCCGCCAGCCCTTCTGCCCTGTCTGCAAACGCATTGCACGAGCCTAGAAGATACCGGCACAAGAATAGACCCCCTTGTCTCCCACTCCCTCCTACTCTTGGTCAAATAATTTGGGGCGGGGTTTCGGATAGCAGACAAAATCCGTCTGATGGTCTGAGAATCACTCAGTTTTTGCTTTTCTATTTATTTCTGCTCGGGGAAATATATTTTGTCCGAATGTTCATACCATAATCGCCCATACATAATGCCCTGGGTGCTGTATAGGATTCCTCAAATACGACCCTAATAGTGTTCACCAAGCAATTCAGCTGTTCAAGCCTACGGTGTGCATGACTTAAAGCCCCAGTCCAAAATTACCAAGGGGGAATTCAAGAGAGCCCCCCTTGAAGTTGGGCACTCTTGTAATCTTTTGAAACGCATAAAAAGAACGGAAGTGCAATTTATGGGCATCGTGAAAGAGTGAAACGGTCGAAAGCGCATGAAAAGCGAGTGAAAGCGATTGCGACAATCATCAGCGACCCATTTGCGAATCCACAGGCGACGCGAATCGCAGGGAGCACAATTGAGCTCGAGGGCGTACGACTCGAACAGTCCCGAACCATCGCCAGGGTTCCAGACCTTACAGTTCGAGCCTCCTGGGCCTTTCCGGACCTCGCTACGACACATCGAGGCCCTTCGACACTTTTCCCGAACCTTCCGATCCTACGTCCTGGATCACCCTAGGATTTCTATATATTGTACTGTATTTCATTTTATTGTAATTCACTCGTTCACAGTTTCGCCATTGCCCTCCGCGCTACTCAGCAGTCCCATTCATAACAAATCCGATGAGAACGCGAACAAACAGATAAACCAAAAGTGCATATCACGAATAGTTTTTAACTAAATGTTCATTGCGTTTTTTCCTCAACATAACAAACTAACTAACGAAGTCGAGTTAGGCTTCTCGATCTAGGCAACTCTACGAACTGCCCCAGGAACCCATGCAATAGAGACCTAACGTCCGCTCCAAACTTTGTACCCTGCGGAGGGACAGAGGGGACTGCAGGCACGTAATGTGATGCACTTGAAGAAGGGAGTTAGAAGGCCTGCACTCACCGAATGGGAATGGAAAAAAAACCAAAAGTGAGGAATGGGAGATGGGGAGGCAGAGTAGATGGGGAGGAAGGGGAGATGGGGAGGAAGGGTAGATGGGGAGGAAGGGGAGATGGGGAGGAAGGGGAGATGGGGAGGCAGGGGAGATGGGGAGGTAGGGGAGATGGGGAGGAAGGGGAGATGGTAAAGCAGGGTAGATAGGGAGGCAATGGAGAAACGGAGGCAGGGGAAAAAGGGAGGCAGGGGCGAACTGCTCGGCCTCCCTAACAACTCTCACCCAACACTTACCCCAGCCCGACCTCACTCTCCACCTTAACTCTCCCCAGCCCTCCCCCCATATCCCCCTCTCCACGCTCCCTCCCCATACCTATCCCCCCGTCCATCTGCATCCCCATTCCCCTGCCGCAAAAGCGCCCCCCTACCCATCCCCTTCCCCAAGCCCATCCATTTCCCCCCTCTCTACCATATATCTCCCCATCCCTTCCCCCCTCTCTGCCATATATATCCCCGTCCCTTCCCCCCTCTCTGCCATATCTCTCCCCGTCCCTTCCCCCCACTCTGCCATATCTCTCCCAGTCCGTTTACCGTGTTCCGTGACTGAATCGATACCATGCGATAAGAATGGTTCCCACGGGTCTCATTGTCAGCGTCGCGGCGTACGCGGCTTTCCCGCAGCACCGCACGGTTATCGTCGTGGTTAGCGCCGTCGGAAGCCTGGTGCGCGGCGGCAAGAAGAAGGGAAAGGCCGTGCGGCATAAGTCGTTCGTCGCCGGGGACCCCGACCGCGGCGTGAAGCTCGAATGGAGCAGCATCACATGCCAGCTACTCGATAAGAAGGGCAACGAGGTACGTATCGAGTGTGAAGTGGTGTAAGCAAGAGAGAGACGAAGCAAACAGGGTGATGAAAAACTGACCAGTCACATTATCGGAAATTGCAGCTGTGCCATATTTTCTTCTTGGATAACCGTGAACCGAACTTCAGAAAATGAGAAAGCTTAAGATTAAAGACATCCTCCGTTCACATGGTTCCATCGGGGTCAGGCAAGGCGACGTTGCTGTCCAAGGATCCTTAAAAACAGTTGCTCCCTAAAACTCGTTTCTCCCTTCTTTCTCCTCAGGTGAAGAAGCTGCTGGACGGCTTGAATGGGAGCGCGAGGGCCGATCGCCTGCTGGCGATCATGGGGCCGTCGGGGTCGGGCAAGACGACGCTGCTCAACACGCTGGCCGGCCAGCTGCCCAAGAATCTAGTTTGTTGCCTGTCCTCGGTACAAATTGTCCGGATGTGCTCTTATGATATGCTTAGGTGTTGAAGGACCATATATTATATAACTCTGGTGTTTGTCGACTTGAATGAGTGCTCTAAATGATCTTCTCCACTTGTATGCACTCCATAAATTAAGGCTTAATGTTTACGCCGCTGCACTAATCCAAGTGCAAAAAAAGACTAAACATGTGGACAACTTTTTCCATCACTGTACATCATTATTAGATGCTTCAGGCTCGACTACATCTTTCGATCTTCACCTCATCGCCTCTTCTCTATAACCGCCCGGCCGGCGGCAACAAAGGCGCAATGGGGAACCCCGACAGCCGCCTCTCCCCTCCGCGTTCCACCTTGCGCCCAGTAGTAATCGTGTGCGGACCATGCTCGTGCCCCTGACTTCCGCCAACCTCTCTCTGCTGCTTCTCCTCGCGCTGTTGCTCCGCCACGCGCCGCTCACCGCAGGCCTCCTCCGCCTCAAGACCCCCGAGCAGCTCAGCTTCTCATTCTCCTCCGCCGACTCGGACTTCGGTAAGTCTTCCCCCGGACGCAGCGGTGTTGACAGGTGACGGTAGACAGTCTACTAGAGATCTCACGGTGCGTGTCAAGACCTCCCAGCAGCTCGGCTACTACTTCACCTCCGCCAACTCCGACTTAGGTAAGGCGACCAGGCAGTACTACGACAGCACGAAGCCGGAGTCGGAGTAGTAGGTCGGGAGAGAATTAGGGACGTGTGTGGTCGGCAGTACTGCGACTGCTGCATAACTTTTATTGCACGGCACTGTCGATCGCATAGTAGATCCCCTAGTAGCTCGGCTATTCCTCCTACCCGGCTCATTCCAACTTCGTAAGCCAATTACGGTACTAGGTTTGCACAGCACGGTTGGTTGTTTAGCGAGGTCGCCTGAGGCCGCAATACCCCCAGCAGCTCGGCTACTGCTTCCCCTTCTAAAATTTTCCGAGTATGGGAACACGCCTCAGCAAGGGCGCGTTCACCAGCGTAACCGCAGCAGGGGCGTCTCAGCAGCATCTGTGATAGTTGTTGGAGTATGAAGAAAGCTGGCTCGGAATGTGGTACGCTCCACTTGCCCTTTCCGCTTCGTCTTCATTCTCCACTCCTCCTTGCTCGGAATGTGCTCGCTCCTACTCCTCTCCATCCTTGCTACCAAGGTCCTGTTATCTCTTTCAGCGGCATCTGGGGAAGGCTGTACCCGACGCTACCGGCCAACGCATGCCAGCCGATTCAGAATCGCGTGCCGCGCGGCGTCGTCCAGTTCGCGCTGATTGCGCGGGGGGACTGCGCTTTTGGGCGGAAAGTGCAAAATGCGCAGCTTGCGGGGTTTGCTGCGGCGGTGGTGTACAATAACGAATCCAATCAGGACCTCGTTATAAGTGAGTGAGAGGTCAGACGGAAGCGTGTCAATTCGCAATCGTGTCGTCTTTGCCCTCACATCTTCGGAACCCTGTCCCTCTCAGACTCCTCACATCCTCCCTCCTTTTCCGCACAACCTCCTATCCCCCATCCATCCTCCCTCTTCCCTCATCCCCCTCCCCCCTTCGTCCCCTAGTGACGGAGAGCCAGCGCACGGGCATCATGATCCCATCTGCATTCATCTCCCTGGAAGCCGCCTCCATCACGCTCTCAGTCGCACAGCCCTCAAACTCAAGCCCCGCCCCCCTCTCCCCCTCTCCCCCTCTCCCCCTCTCCCCCTCTCCCCCTCTCCCCCTCTCCCCCTCTCCCCCTCTCCCCCTCTCCCCCTCTCCCCCTCTCCCCCTCTCCCCCTCCCCCCCTCTCCCCCTCTCCCCCTCTCCCCTAACCCCCTCTCCCCCTCTCCCCCTCTCCCCCTCTCCCCCTCTCCCCCTCTCCCCCTCTCCCGCTCTCCCGCTCTCCCCCTCTCCCCCTCTCCCCCTCTCCCCCTCTCCCCCTCTCCCCCTCTCCCACTCTCCCCCTCTCCCCCTCTCCCCCTCTCCCCCTCTCCCCCTCTCCCCCTCCCCCTCTCCCCCTCTCCCCCTCTCCCCCTCTCCCCCTCTCCCCCTCTCCCCCACTCCCCCTCTCCCCCTCTCCCCCTCTCCCCCTCTCTCCCTCTTATCCCCCCCCCCCCCCCAAGTGACGGAGAACGAGTGCACGGGCGTAGTGATCCCATCCGCGTTCATCTCCCTGGAAGCTGCCTCCAACGTGCTCTCAGCACTCCAGCCGTATTCCGACAGCATCGCCATACTCTACCCCTCTGAGACCTTCCTTCCCGCCTCCGCCTACTCCTGGTCCTTAATCATCTGGATATCCTCCCTCCTCGCTGTAGGCATCATGCTGCTAGCGTTCCTATGCATGTGTCGGTACCGGATTCGCAATGCAATGGCAGGGGCGGCGGCCGCCGCGGGGGTGAATCCTGCTTTCCTGCCGATCCAGCTGACGTCAGCGCCGGATAAGATGACCATGGAAGAGGTCATGGCGCTGCCCGAGAAGACTTTTTCGGGGCTGCCCGGTTCCAAGCGGGCAGAGGTTGAAAATAAGGGCGGCAGCAGCAAGGGTGCCAGTAGTGAACGGGACAGAAAGGAGGAGGTGGCAGTCTTAGGAGGAGAAAGGCAGAGGACTGTGCGCAGAGTGACTCTAAAGAGCGGGGCAGCGGTAAGGAGAAGTATCCTATAGAGAGCTCCCAGAGTGATGGTACCACAAGAGCCGCTGAAGGAAGGAGGCTCTCGGGTGACTACAGCATGCAGGGCAACAGGGAACTGGGAGACGTGGAGTTGGGTCGGCAGGGCATCGTGCGAAGCCGAGTGTCATTCTGCAGTAGGGACAAGAGGGAAAGGGGGGAGGGGGCGGAGGAGGAGGAGGAGGAGGAAGTGAACGTCAGGAGCACGTGGGAGACGTGTGCCATATGCCTTGAGGACTATGCGTGTGGGGAACGGCTGAGATTCCTGCCATGCAACCATGGTGAGTATTCAGAAGTCATGCTTTGCCCTCACCCATCAAACATCAGCAACGTCATGCAGCCATGGTAAGCATTCAGCGGTCATGCTTTGCCCTCACCCATCACACATCAGCAACGTCATGCAGCCATGGTGAGCATTCAGCGATCATGCTTTGCCCTCACCCATCACACATCAGCAAGGTCATGCAACCATGGTGAGCGTTCAGCGGTCATGTTTTGCCCTCCTAACGGTGTAGAGAAATCATTTGGTTTCTTCCCCCCATCAGCCATCAAATCTTTATCCTGCTCAACCTCCTCTTCCTTCTCTCCCTCAGCCTCTCATGCTTCCTCCCTCAGCCTCTCAGAGATTGCGAGCGATATCCAGCTCTTATCGCATGTATCTTCAGAATCAACCATCCCCGAGGCTAGTCGTTATGGATTGAGTACTGGGCTACAAGCGCAAGATGCGGAATCATCACGGGCTGTGCAAGGGCAACAGGAGGAGGGCAATATTGTGATAAACGTGGAGAATCATTTAAGCGCACAACCACTTGTTGCGGCACATTGATTTAATCAAAAGATTGGTTACACTTAAGCTTGTGTATGCTTGTCTTGTAATACTTTGGCAATACCCAAGCAAGCTCAATCTTCAGCATATTCTTGTATCATTCGGTAATGAAGCGTGCTCTTCCAAAAGTACAGTTCATTTTGGCTACACCTGGAGCACACCGGACGCCCAGCACATTACGTGGCCCAATCAGAAACCACCGCCCATTAGCGTTAACACACGGGCAACGGCCCACTCAACGTGGGCCGTGAACAGAGCAAGCAGTGCAACGTCATCATCACAACGGTGACAAATATGCGGCACAAGACGAAAGATTTGCGCCACAACTGTTTTCGCCACAAACTTCCAGCCGCGCCCGTAATAGCGCTACGGCGAAGCTCAGCGAGTCAAATGTGCGTACGCCTCGCTGGGTTTGTTTGTGGCTTGAGCATCGCCGTATGAAACCAAACGCTGACTTGGCAACGATATGGAGTCGCGATGCCCCGATGCCAGGGATCGTTCTCAACATCCGACAGCCAACCGAGGAAAAGACTCTTCCACAGTCCACGCAGTAGTTATTGTTGCGACACGAATCTTCAATTCGTAATGTAAGAAATCTCTATAACACGCCCCTCACATTTGGAACTGGAATGCGACTCCAAACCCTCGCCACATTTTACGAAGTATAAAAGGGAGCAAACCAAACCAGAGAAACTCACTCAACATCTCACTCGACAACCACCACTCTGGTGCTATACCAAAGAAACTCACTCTCGCTGGAAAGCGCCGAAACTTATCAGAGGGTAACTGCGTGAACAATGGCTCACCAAAATATGCCACTCAAACCTACCCCGCAAAACATCAAAATGGTAACCTTCGTGCCCGTGCAAGAGGCCCACATGCCCGTGACGATGCTGTGCGAACCCCCTGCTCGTTTTTGTTTACCAGCACTCTGAAAAGTTGTGCTCCTCTGTCAGGCTCAAGGTGTAACTGAAAATCCAGGCGCCCTGCTGCCACGTTGGCTGGCTCACTCATTCCAGCCAGTCGCAAATGGGCCTCGGGACTGCCGGGCAACTGCGCAGAAGTTGGGTTGGGTGGGAGGGAGGCCCATGCATCTGCCGTTATATTCCCCTCTGGCGGAGGCCCACGCAGGACTCCACTCGACACCAGGGCACACGTTAACAGGGTAATCAGCCATACTTCACTGAAAATACAAGGCATTTAGGATTCCGACTCATTTTTTTTTGGGATCTGGTTTCACCAAGTCCTCTAAAATCAGGGACATTTATCCACTGACCCGTAGGAGACCGGGGCGGTTTTGAGGGGGCCCGGACATCTAGTTAGCCTCCAGGGGGTGTAGGAATCTGTCAAACTTCCCGTTCTTCCATGTCACCCCGAGCCCCACTCTGCTCTTCCCATTTTCCCCTAGTTTAGCGGTTGGTTGAAAATTGTTCACGCCACTCAAACCCGCCCCCTCCCTCCCACCAAACCCCCTTTCTTCCCAGCCCCCTGGCCTAAATATAGCACCTTCTCGTGCGTGATTCATCTGCAGCATAGGTGCTGGTGAGGGGGAGGGTTTCCCATCCCACCCCGAAGTCGCCCAATGGCACCCTCACTATCTTGCCCAGCAAAGATGGGTTATAACATATCAGGCCTTTTTAAGCACGGACCCTGAATATTCAGGGTAATGTTCTTACGAGGTCAGACTTTACAGGGCAATTTTCTGAGGGGCCCGGATCGTTCGAGGTGGCGAAAAACCTAGCGAGAGCCCTGCTCGACACTCAACTCGACTCGAGCAAGGCCCATCCGCGTGTGTCAACGTCCACCAGTCTGCAGAGCCTGCACGGTTGTAGTCATCATCCCATCCCCTTACCTGCAGGCTAGTCCGAACGACCAGCGGAGCTGCGCAGAAGATGGCCCTTGCAGCGGGCCGGGGTCGTTCGTCACCCGGACCGTCGGGGTCCGGGTTTGCTTGCTGTGACGGTAAAACGCAGAGTCCAGTATGACCCTAGACTCTAAGGTAGAGTCGCTTTGGAAGCGTCGTTGTGTTTCCGGCTCTCATTCATCGTCACTTACCGTCTCGCTAGGGTTTGCTGTCTCTCCGAAAGTCTTCAAGTACAAAAAGTTCGCGTTTGCGCCTAACCCGCGGCTGAGAAGCCGAATGCGACGAGAGCATTTTCAGCGCAGCAGCATCCCCGGTATCTCACGCCTCGACTTCAGCATAGGCGCTTCGACAGCATCGACAAAGGCATCCCCGGGATTACTTGCATCACTTCCTGCCCCATCGCCTCCGCTCTATCGCCTCCGCTGGCAGCAGCAGAGGCGCAATGGAGAACCCCCCGCGTCCCCCCTCCGCATTCCGGCGCCGCCTTGCATCCCGTTGTAGTCGTGCGCCCGCGCCCCTTGGTTCCGCCAGCCTCTCTCTGCCGCGCCCCTCTCTGCTGCTCCTCGCGCTGCTGCTCCGCCACGCGCCCGTCACCACGGGCATTCTCCGCCTCACGTCCTCCCTGGCCTGGCAGGACGACTACTCGTTCCTTTCCGCCGACGCCGACTTCGGTAAGTCCACCGTAGGTTGATAAGTCCAACTTGAACTTTTTTGAGACGGTAGGTTTTTCAGCAGAGGCCGCGAGGTGACTTTGAGTCGACTCAAAAGTCACCTCGTTACTAATTTGAGGCGGTAGGTTGTTCAGCAGAGGCCGCGATACCCGCAGCAGGTCGCTCGTTCGAGAAGAAATCGTGAGGCCACTGGAGGAGAAGAAAGAGTATGCTGTATGTAGCTTCGGAAGCTGGTACGCTGATCTAGATTCGGAAGCTGGTACGCTGATGTAGCTTCGGAAGCTGGTACGCTGATGTAGCTTCGGAAGCTGGTACGCTGATGTCGCTTCGGAAGCTGGTGCGCTGATGTAGCTTCGGAAGCTGGTACGCTGATGTAGCTGTGGAAGCTGGTACGCTGATGTAGCTTCGGAAGCAGGTGCGCCGATCTAGCTTCGGAAGCTGGTGCGCTGATCTGATCTTAGCACTGCTAATAGCATGGCATCCTCTGACTTATTTCGCGCTCCTCCACTCCCTCTCACTCCCTCTCACTCCCTCTCACTCCCTCTCACTCCCTCTAACTCCCTCTAACTCCCACTCACTCCCTCTCACTTCCTCTTACTCCTCCCAAGGTCCCGAGATCCCTTTCAGCGGCATCCGGGGGAGGTTGTATCGGACGATACCAGCCGATGCATGCCAGCCGATTCAGAATCGCGTGTCATTCGGCGCCGCCCGGCTCGCGCTGATTGCGCGCGGGAGCTGTTTCTCTATAGAGAAGGTGCATAATGCGGAGCTCGCGGGGTATGCTGCGGCGGTGGTGTACAATAACGAATCTTATCCAGAACTCCATACAAGTAAGTCGCTACAGGTAAGATCACTGACAAGAAGTGATCTTATGGTCAGCAGCTTAATTTAATCACAGTCGTATCGTATCTCCTTTGCCATCACCCCCCCTGTCCCCCTATCCCCCTGTACCCCTATCCCCCTGTACCCCTATCCCCCTGTGCCCCTATCCCCCTGTACCCCTATCCCCCTGTGCCCCTATCCCCCTGTGCCCCTATCCCCCTGTGCCCCTATCCCCCTGTCCCCCTACTACACTGAGTTGAGAACCCTCTCACATCCCCCTCACATCCCTCTCACATCCCCCTCACATCCCTCTCACATCCCCCTCACATCACATCACGTCCTCCGTCCATTTCACAATTTCCAGCTTTCCGCCCCATCTTAAGCCTCAACCTTCCTCTCCCTTATTCCCCCACCCCCTCTCCCCTACCCCTCCAAACCCCGCCTGCGCCCCCTTCTCCGCGTTCCCTCCACCGTCTCCCCCAACGAGTCAACTTACGGGCATCCACTGTGCTCGAGACAAGACCAGCTCGAGGCACATCCAGGTCGAGGCCGCCTCCACCATGCTCTCAGCCCTCCAGCCGTCCAGCCGCACTCTTCCAACTCCATTCCCGTCGCCTCTCCTCCCCCTTTTCCCCCTCATCTCCCCCCCCCCCCCCCCCCCCCCAGTGAGTGCGGGTCTGCCTCTGACCATCAAGATCCCGTCGGCCTTGATCTCGCTCGAAGACGGGCTCACTATTCTTTCAGACGTCCACCCCCTCCCGGACCTCCTCGCCACCCTCTATCCCACCGACCCCGACACCATCTGGCCTTCCTCCAGGTCCCCACCGCCGCCCCCCTGGTCCCCGCCCTCCAAAAGCTCCTCGACCATGGTCATATGGATCGTCGTCTCCGTCTTTACACTCATTATGGTGCTTGGGTGTGCATGGCTGAGTTATATGCAACAGCGTGCGGAGGCAGCAACGGAGGTGCAGCCGGCCGACGCAGAGGGGAATCCGGCTGTCTCGCCGACTCGGCTTACGTCAGGAGAAGGTCTTCCGGCTATTGGGTCGACTCAGCTGACGTCAGGAGGAGGTCCTGCGGCTGTCTTGCCGACTCAGCTGACGTCTTCTACAGATAAGATGACCTTAGGGGAGGTCAGGAAGCTGCCCGAGAAGACTTTTACTTGGCTGCCCTGTGCCAAGCGGGCAGGGGCTGAAAATACGGGCGACAGCAGCAAGGGTGACAGTAGTGAAGGGGATAAAAAGGAGAAGGTGGCAGTGTTAGGAGGAGAAAACGCAGAGGACTGTGGGCAGAGTGATTGCAAAGAGCAGGGTAGCAGTAAGGAGAAGTATCCGTTGGTGCGGCTCCATACTGATGAGCACTCAAGTGACAACAGCACGTGGGAAGACATGGAGTTGGGTCGGCAGGGCAGCGTGCGGAGCCGAGTATCCTTCTGCAGTAGGAGCGAGCGGGGGCGGCTGGAGGTGCGGGAGGGAGGGGAGGGTGGGGAGGATGAGGTGATCATCAGGAGCGCGTGGGAGACATGTGCCATCTGCCTTGAGGACTATGCGTGTGGGGAACGGCTGAGAGTCCTGCCATGCAGCCATGGTGAGAGTCCTGCCATGCAGCCATGGTGAGAGTCCTGCCATGCAGCCATGGTGAGAGTCCTGCCATGCAGCCATGGTGAGAGTCCTGCCATGCAGCCATGGTGAGAGTCCTGCCATGCAGCCATGGTGAGAGTCCTGCCATGCTGCCATGATGAGAGTCCTGCCATGCAGCCATGGTGAGAGTCCTGCCATGCAGCCATGGTGAGAGTGTTTCTTGCTTACCATTGCCCCTCATCCCTTGCTTACCGTCAAATCCCCCCCCCCCCCCCCCACCACCCCTCTGCACCCCACTGCAGAGTTCCACACTGGGTGTGTGGATCAGTGGCTCACAACCCGCCAGCCCTTCTGCCCTGTCTGCAAACGCATTGCACGAGCCTAGAAGATACCTGCACAAGAATAATAGACCCCCTTGTCTCCCACTCCCTCCTACTCTTGGTCAAACAATTTGGGGCGGGGTTTCGGATAGCAGACGAAATCCGTTTGATGGTCTGAGAATCACTCAGTTTTTGCCTTTCTATTTATTTTTGCTCGGGGAAATATATTTTGTCTGAATGTTCATACCATAATCGCCCATACATAACGCCCTGAGTGCTGTATAAGATTCCTCAAATACGACCCTATTAGTGTTCACCAAGCAATCCAGCTGTTCAAGCCTACGGCGTGCATGACTTCGGATGTGCGATTTGTAGGGTCAAAATGAAAAGAGGGTGGGTCAAGCTCGTTTTAGGCTAAAATTGCACATTCCAACAACGCCCTCCAAGTCTAGCACGTCTCGTGATCGCACTGGCTTGAGAGTGACACGTTTAACCAATAATCAATCACACTTTTGCTTTTGTACAGTATGCTTGCCTTGTAGGGGTTTGGCGATTATATTCTAAGGAAGTTCCCTTGTAATGCTCCTGTGTCACTACAATATCGAAACGTGCCGTTCCAGAAGGACACGCTGGCCGGCCCAAAATCCAGTTGTTCTGCCACGTCGGATGGTTCTCTCATCCCATCCCTTTGTCCGCGAATAGCCCTCGACACCTTGACCTACGCGACGTCGCCCGATTCGCCACGCTGTCGCCGTGACGACCGACTATGCGACGCACCTTCCCTTCCCTCCCGCCCTAACAATCCCAGGGTTGCTGTGCGACAATTCCAGTCCAGTCTCAAAATCCCCAATCCCAAGGCCTCTTTCCCTCGGATTTTTCAAATTTCTCTGGTTTCATTGTTCTGCTGCTTGGCTTTTCTTGGTTCTAGTCCAGACCAGGCCGGTTCCACGTACATTAGGGCAGCGATTTCCGGTCCGTTTCCCGTGTTCCGTGACTGAATCGATACCACGCGATAAAAATGGTTCCCTGGGGTCTCATTGTCAGCGTCGCGGCGTACGCGGCATTCCCGCAGCACCGCACGGTTATCGTCGCGGTTAGCGCCGTCGGGAGCCTGGTGCGCGGCGGCAAGAAGAAGGGAAAGGCCGTGCGGCACAAGTCGTTCGTCGCCGGGGACCCCGACCGCGGCGTGAAGCTCGAATGGAGCAGCATCACGTGCCAGCTGCTCGATAAGAAGGGCAACGAGGTACGTCTCGTGTACGTTCGAGCGAATGGTGGTAGTAAGGAAAGGCGCTGAAATGTAAGTCGTTGTTGCTGGCGATCTCGACCGTAACGTGAAGCTCGAATGGAGCAGCATCACGTGCCAGCTGCTCGATAAGAAGGGAAACGAGGTACGTCTCGTGTACGTTCGAGCGAATGGTGGTAGTAAGGAACCGGCATTGATAAGAAGGGCAATGAGGTACGACATGATAGGTTGTGATTCCGAAGAAAAAAATGCAGTGTGAAGTGGTGTAAGGAAGAGACAGACGAAGCAAGCAGGGTGACGAAAAGCTGACCAGTCACATTACCGGAAATCGCAGCTGTGCCAGATTTTCTTCATGGATAACCGTGAACCGAACTTCAGAAAATGAGAAAGCTTTGGGACCTTGAGATTAAAGACATCCTCCGTTCACATGGGTCCGTCGGGGTCAGGCAAGGCGACGCTGCTGTCCAATGATCCTTAAAACAGTTGCTCCCTAAAAACCGTTGCTCCCTTCTTTCTCCTCAGGTGAAGAAGCTGCTGGACGGCTTGAATGGGAGCGCGAGGCCCGGTCGCCTGCTGGCGATCATGGGGCCGTCGGGGTCGGGCAAGACGACGCTGCTCAACACGCTGGCCGGCCAGCTGCCCAAGAGCAGCAAGATCGCCCTCTACGGATCCATCCGCGCTAATGGCGTCCCCATCGCCGATTCATGGCACAAGTAAGCTTTTTTTAGCATCGTGCCAATTCATGGCGCTAGTAAGCTGTTTCAGCATTGTTCCGATTTCCATGCACCGCCAACCACCTTTGCGCTCGCTGCCACCATTGCCAAACACCTTTGCGCTCGAAAGGCGTGAAGCGAGGCTCGCCTAGCCCTGCTTCAGCAGCTTTTTCGAAGATGTGACTTTTGAGTCGACTCAAGCGTCGGTTCGCCTTGGCCTGCTTCAGCGGCTGTTTCCAGGTGTGCAGGCAGAGGCATTCTGTTTCCATTTCTGTTGAGAATGGCAATTTCCCCGATGAGAAACTTCTTCAATTTCAATCAGATGTCCTATTAACCCATACGAACATTGACGCCTTTTTTCATCCGTCTCTCCCCACCACAGGCAGGTGCTCGTGCGCCAGGAGGGCATCTTCTTCTCGCAGCTGGACCTGGAGACCGCAGCACTATCATGCGATCACATGCTGATTCTTTCGCCCGTCTGTCTGTGTTCCCACCATCCGTGGTCTTTCCCCACCGCAGGCAGGTGTACGTTCGCCAGGAGGACATCTTCTTCTCGCAGCTGACCAGTTTTGATCTATGCCGCCTTTGATATGAACTTCCGTTTCCGCTTGCCCCTTTTCCGCAGGCAGGTGTACGTGCGCCAGGACGGAGGACATCTTCTTCTCGCAGCTGACGGTGCGCGAGACCCTGGTGAGGGCAACGAAGGACCTGTATGCAGTATCATATCACATGTTCACTCTCTCGCCTGTCTGTTCCTGTTCCAAATTCTTTGTCCCCATCGCAGGCAGGTGTACGTGCGCCAGGAGGACATCTTCTTCTCGCAGCTCACGGTGCGAGAGACCCTGGTGACGGCGGCGAAGCTGCAGCTGCCGTCGTCCATGTCGGACGAGGAGAAGGAGCAACACGTGGAGCAGCTGCTGCAGCACCTGGGACTGGTGAGTCTCATGGTGCCTCGTATATGGTGCCTCGTATATGATGCCTCGTATATGAGTCTCGCACTTCAAAGCCAGAAGGGGCAGCATGCGGAAGAGCTGCTGCACTGCAGCACCTGGGGCTGGTGAGTCCAGCAGTCTGGTGAGTCAATGCCAGCCACTGCTTACAAGTTGACCAGTTCACTTCAGATCCAGAAGGAGCAGCACGTGGAGCAGCTGCTGCAGCACCTGGGCCTGGTGTGTCTATCGGTCTGGCGAGTCAGTCAGCCTGAGTCGAGTGAGTCATCAGATTGACCTTTCAATTTCAGCTTCACAAGAGCAGCACGTGGAGCAGGCAGCACCTGGGGCTGGTGAGTCTGTCGGTCTGGCGAGTCACTCTATGTAACAGCGTGCGGAACAGCCTATTTGATTGACTTCGAGTCAACTCGATTGCAATTCCTGTGCATGGTACATGGTACATGGTACATGGTACATGGTACATGGTACATGGTACATGGTACATGGTACATGGTACATGGTACATGGTACATGGTACATGGTACATGGTACATGGTACATGGTACATGGTACATGGTACATGGTACATGGTACATGGTACATGGTACATGGTACATGGTACATGGTACATGGTACATGGTACATGGTACATGGTACATGGTACATGGTACATGGTACATGGTACATGGTACATGGTACATGGTACATGGTACATGGTACATGGTACATGGTACATGGTACATGGTACATGGTACATGGTACATGGTACATGGTACATGGTACATGGTACATGGTACATGGTACATGGTACATGGTACATGGTACATGGTACATGGTACATGGTACATGGTACATGGTACATGGTACATGGTACATGGTACATGGTACATGGTTTTTTTTTTTTTTTACATGGTACATGGTACATGGTACATGGTACATGGTACATGGTTTACATGGTACATGGTTTTTACATGGTACATGGTACATGGTACATGGTACATGGTACATGGTACATGGTACATGGTACATGGTACATGGTACATGGTATGGTACATGGTACATGGTACATGGTACATGGTACATGGTACATGGTACATGGTACATGGTACATGGTACATGGTACATGGTACATGGTACATGGTACATGGTACATGGTACATGGTACATGGTACATGGTACACTGTACATCCTCTGATTCCTGGCCTGCAGGTGAACGCAGCAGGCACGATCGTGGGCGACAACAAGACGCGCGGCATCAGCGGCGGCGAGAAGAAGCGGCTGTCGATTGCCTGCGAGCTGCTGGGCAACCCGTCCGTGGTGTTCGCAGACGAGCCCACCACGGGGCTGGACGCGTACCAGGCGGAGAAGGTGATGCAGACGCTCAAGGACCTCGCCAAGGAGGGCCGCACTGTGATCTGCAGGTGAGCTTTGTGCAGACTCAAAGGCGGTGTCTCTGCGGGGCTGGACTCGTACCACGGCTTAGACGCACACCAGGCGGAGAAGGTGATGCAGACCCTCTCAAGGACCTCGCCAAGGAGGGCCGCACCGTCATCTGCAGGTCAGAGAGTTGAGGGGGGAGGGGCGCACAACGAAGGCTGCATCACACCCCCTCTTACCCCCCTCCCGCCCTCCTTCCGTCCGCAAGTTCATCCCCCCCCCCCCCCCATTCTCCCTCCTCCCTCCCCCCCCGCTGTTCCACCCTTCCACCACCCCCAACCCCGCCCCCACCCGGACCCCCGTTCATCCATCCACCAGTATCCATCAGCCACGTGGCAGCGTGTTCGACATGTTTGATGACATCATGGTGGTTGCGGGCGGCAAGCTCGTCTACTCGGGGCCGGCTGGGGATGCGTGCCTTGAGTACTTCAAGAATCAAGGGTGAGTGGAGGACGAATTGGAGAGGGAGAGGGTAGAGGGTGGAGGAGAGGGTGGGGGAGGGGGGGTACCTCGTTAGTAGGGGGCTAACATGTTGGTCTCGTGTATCATGTCATTGAGTCGTCTACTCCATATCACCTTGAGTGTACTTTCCATCAGCCTGAGTGTACTTTCCATCAGCCTGAGTGTACTCTCCATCAGCCTGAGTGTACTCTCCATCAGCCTGAGTGTACTCTCCATATATGATGCCTCGTCTATACGAGGCATCATACCCTCCTTCCGTCGCCCTCCCCCCACAGCCTCGACTGTCCCCTCCAATCCAACCCATATGCTTGCCACGGACCCCACGGACCACACGGACCACACGGACCACACGGACCACACGGACCACACGGGCCACACGGACCACACGGACCACACGGACCACACGGGCCACACGGACCACACGGACCACACGGACCCCACGGACCCCACGGACCCCACGGACCACACCTCTTCTGTCTCCTCATCCCTTCTCCCTTTCTTCCCCACATTCTCCCCCCTCCTTCCCCCCCTTTCCCCCCCTCCCCCCCCCCCCCCATCCCACCCCACCCCCCTCCCTCGCCCCCTCATCTCCCCCCCCTTTTTTCCAGCCACGAGAGCCCCCTGCACTTCAACCCAACGGAGTTCCCCTCAGACCTGGCCGGCGCAGACCACACCTCTCCCGATTTCCGCCCTCTCCTCATCCTGTCTCCCTTTCTCTCCCTCCACCCCCCACCGCCCACCTCCCACCTCCCCCCACCCACTCCCTCGCCCCCTTCCCTTTTCCAGCCACGACTGTCCCCTCCACTCCAACCCAGCAGAGTTCCTCTCAGACCTGGTTGGCACGGACCACACCTCTGCCGACACCGAAGCGCAGTCCGCCGCCCGCATCCAGCGCCTCATCCAGGCCTTCGCCGCCCACTCCGCCGCCCAAACCGGCAGCTCCACCGCCCTGGCCGTCTCCCAAGACCTCCAAGCCAGCCTAGCCGACTCCGAGGAGGAAGACGGGGAGGAGGACGGGGAGGGGGGCGGCAAGTCGAAGCGGCGTCTCGGGCTGACTGCAGCGAAGGCAGACGGGGCAGGAGCCGGGTTCTGGCAGCAGTTCAAGATCCTCCTGGTGCGCGCGTGGCGGCAGACCACCCGTGACCGCGCCACCAACGTGGTCCGAGCCATGATGAACCTCACATCTGCGGCCATCTTCGGATCCATCTTCTGGCGCATGGGGTTTGGGCAAACGACCATCCAGGACCGCATGGGTCTGCTCCAAGTGGCGGCTATTAACACCGCCATGGCGTCGATCACCAAGACGCTGAACGTGTTTCCGAAGGAGAGGCAGATTGTGGAGCGGGAGCGAGCGAAGGGCGCGTATGCAGTGGGCCCGTACTTCCTCTCGAAGCTTGTGGCCGAGCTGCCGGTCACAGCGTTTTTCCCGGCGCTGTTCTCGATGGTGTGCTACCCCATGACCGGTCTGCACCGCACTGTACCCAGGTGAGAGGCATGGTACCATCCCGTCCTTTAGCCCTTCTGTCATCAATGACATGATCTTTGCGTGCCATTTTACTGATGGCACCATCTACACCCACCCATGTACATACCTCTAGTGAGCTTCTGATGATCCCGTCTCACCCTGTATGTCCCATCCCAGCAGGTTTCTCAAGTTCCTTCACCTCGTCAGCCATGGGGCTCACAGTGGGGTGCATCGCATCGCCCCCACCACAGAGACGTCCCAAGATTCAAAGCCCCTCCCTCCTCCCCTCGCTTCTTTTCCCTCCCCCAGGCTCCTCGAGTTCCTTGGCGCCACCACTGTCGATTCCTTCACGTCGTCAGCCATGGGGCTCACAGTGGGGTGCATCGCGCCCATCCTTCCCCTCCCCCCCTCTTCCCTCCCCTTCCCTCCCCCAGGTTCCTCAAGTTCCTTGGCGCCACCACAGTGGAGTCCTTCACGTCGTCAGCCATGGGGCTCACAGTGGGGTGCATCGCGCCCACCACCGAGGCGGCCATGGCGCTGGGCCCCTCCATCATGACGGTCTTCATTGTCTTCGGCGGGTACTACGTCAACGCGGACAACACGCCCGCCATCTTCCGCTGGATCCCCAACGCCTCGCTCATCCGCTGGTCAGTGCTCGCCATGACACCATGACACTACCTTGCGCTCCATCATGACTTTTGCGGCGCCTCAAAAGTCGCCATGACACCATGACACTACCTTGCGCTCCATCATGACTTTTGCGGCGCCTCAAAAGTCGCCATGACACCATGACACTACCTTGCACTCCATCATGACTTTTGCAGCGCCTCAAAAGTCGCCATGACACCATGACACTACCTTGCGCTCCATCATGACTTTTGCGGCGCCTCAAAAGTCGCCATGACACCATGACACTACCTTGCGCTCCATCATGACTTTTGCGGCGCCTCAAAAGTCGCCGTGACACCATGACACTACCTTGTGCTCCATCATGACTTTTGCGGCGCCTCAAAAGTCGCCATGACACCATGACACTACCTTGCGCTCCATCATGACTTTTGCGGCGCCTCAAAAGTCGCCATGACACCATGACACTACCTTGCGCTCCATCATGACTTTTGCGGCGCCTCAAAAGTCGCCATGACACCATGACACTACCTTGCGCTCCATCATGACTTTTGCGGCGCCTCAAAAGTCGCCATGACACCATGACACTACCTTGCACTCCATCATGACCGTCTTACAAAACCCCTGTCATCCTCTGCTGAGGATCCAGCAGAGGATCCTCTCCTTACTCCAAACATAATCGATTAGAACTTCACTGACCAGCTCTGATCTGAACGCATCCACCTCTGGGCAGTGAAGTTGCCACCTGTACACGCATGCATCACCTCAGCTCTCCTTGTCATTCTTCCTTACAACTGTACCCCGGGGCTTATGAGGCCTTGTGTGAGCGAGTATTACGGGCTGATGTTTGCCGGGCGCCACACCCACAATCTTTTTTCTGCCCTTCAACCCATGCCTTCCCCTTCCCTTCCTACTACCCTTCCCAGGGGCTTTGAGGCGCTGTGTTCGACGGGTTCACCTTTGAAGCCACCAAGCCCACGGACCTGAAGACAGGCCGGCAGGTGCTGGAGCCCCCTCTCCTCCCTGTTCAGGTGCAGGTGCCGGCAGGTCCTTAACCCTCTCCTCCCTGTTCTCACCTCCCATTGGGGCTTCGAGGCCTTGTTTGTGAACGAGTTCGATGGGCTCACATTCGAAGCCATCAAACCCACGGACCAGTGCACGGGCAGGTCACTGCTGGAGCGCCTGTCCTTAACCCCAACCCTCCCCTCTCTGTTCTCGCCTCCCATTGTACCCAGGGGCTTTGAGGCGCTGTGTGTGAACGAGTTCGACGGGCTCACCTTCGAAGCCACCAAGCCCACGGACCTCAAGACTGGCCGGCAGGTGCTGGAGCGCCTGTCGTTCGCCGACAGCTCTGTGGCCAAGTCCGTGCGCAAGGAGGTGCAGATCATGCTCGGCTGGTACTGGGCCTCCGCCTACCTGCTCCACAAGAAGACTCCCGAGTTCACCCGCCTGCTGCCGGTGTCTAAGCTTGCAGGCAAGGAGTCTGAGTCTGGCAACGGGGTTGAGGGGGCGGCTGGGAAGAGCAGTGTGGTTATTGAGGAGGTGATTGAAGCGAGCGGGGAAGCTGTAACGGCGGCTGAGGTGACTGAAGTGAGCGCTGAAAGTCTGACAACCGCCGAGGTGACGACCACGACCACAACAACCACCACCATCACCACCGAGTCCGCGAGCACAGAGGTTGAAACCTCGGTCGAGGAAGAATTTGTTGAGGCTGAGTAGTAGGAAATCCTTGGGGGGGGTTGTGTGATCTATTATCTCAACATGGCACTTGCAGTCGCGGTGCCTTTCTCCTTCTTTTACAGTAATAACAAACAGTTGATTGCTCATGCCTGTAGCTATTAATAGTCATATTTTTGTAGCCACTAAGGCTTTTACTGACTTATAGAGACTGCATCACATCAAGGAGTTCTCTAGCCTATCAACGCATCGTATCAACTCATTTCGATTTGTATCATACCTTTATGCTCGTAGTAAAAATTGTTTATGATGATCGTTGTTCAATAATGGACATGTTTTGTACTCGATACACAGTTATCTGAAAAATATAACCCAACCAGCAGATTTCTGGAAAATCAACTTTCCCGTGTGAGGAGATCGAGCCGCAAAATTATTGGACACTGCTGGGAGCCGCCTGCACCCGAACACTAAGTGTGGGAGACGCACATTCAAACTGGCGAACCCAGCTGGGAACCGTATTCCATCCAATTGCAACTACCTGTAACGCTCAGGAACCTTTCTTGAACGTGTGAAACGATCCGGACCCAGTCTGATTAGGTCTAGTCGGACGCCGCACCATGCCTCATTATGGCCTGTTTTGTAGAGAGCTGCGTGAAGGTGAGCGCGAACCACAGCGGAAGCACCGCTAACCAGATGAAGCCGGGAAGAATGGAGAAAAAAAAGTGCAGACTACGTAGTAGTAAGAAAGACGTCTCACTCCCGCAGCGCGCTTGGTGCTGCGGCGCTAACGAATCGAGTCTATGAGGCAGTGGCAGCTCCTCGGATGAAGTAACTACAAAGCTTGTCGGTTCAACCGGTAAGAGCATTCCTATCGCAACCGAGCATATACTCTCGTGGTCTCTCTGGATTGCGCAGCCATCTAGATTTTTGTAGGCAGTACGGGTTCCAACTACTATTGAGCTAATCTTGGTCAGGAGTACAGGCAGGAGATTCAGTCTGACAGCTAAGCTTTCCAGCACACATCAACACCATACGTTTGCGAATTCAGCGGTTACAACTCAACTTCAACCTTTCGCCATGGCGAAGTTCGCCAAACAAATGTTTTCGGTGCTCGTTCTCCTCTCCCTCGTCTGCTTCTCGCATCTCCCCCTCGCATCCGCCGGCGCACCCAAACGCGTCGCTCGCACGCGACAGGCGCACGGTGAATTCCGTCGTCAGCGCCAGCTGGCAGAAAAGCAGGACGGCGGCGCCTCGGCCCAGGGCCAAGAGATTCCGATTAAGTACTGGGGCGGGCCCGTGATGACCGGAAACCCTTCCGTGAACGTGTACATAATCTACTACGGCAGCTGGCCGGCTGGGTCGGGGCAGGGCGTGATTGGAAACTTTATTCGGTCGCTGAGTGCGGATTCGGGCCAGCAGGGGTCGGCGGCGGATCCCAAGGTGAAGCATTGGTGGGCGATCAACGCGCCGTACTCTCAGGAGGCGGATGGCGAGATGAAGAATGTCAGTAGAAAGGTGAGTCCATTCAAGTTTCCTGGAGGGCTTGGACGAAAGGAATCTGAGTGGACACCGGTACTGTTGACGGCTGTGGACATCGACGGCTGCTGTTGACCGAACCGCAAAGATGCCAATTTGTTGATGATTGCGAAATGACAACATGCTCAGTTCACATCAACCCTGCCCTAGATTTTACCGAACCAGGCACGTCTCAAACCACATCCCCTCGCTTTTCCCTCAGGTGCGACTAGCCGGGATTGCGTACGATGACTACTCGGTGGGAGACAGTTTCGAAGACGGAACCGCTTGGGAAGGTATGCATAGTAGTACCTCAACATCACTGATGCTCTGGCAGACCTTTCGCCTCGTTCATGCACCATGCTCTACATTTGAGGCGCCTCAAAATTGTACATCATTGACCCATTTCGGGCCTTTCCCTGCCATTTCACCATCTCGAACTCTCCTTTCTCTGATCTCACAGTTGTTTCAAGCAAGATCGGCGACGGAAAGGAGTTTCCGTATGACCCCCATGGCATCTACTTGCTTCTCATCAGCAAGGATGTTTCCGACCCCGGATTCTGTACCAAATACTGCGGATGGCACACTATGGGTTTTATCGAGTCGGACGCGGTGATATACTCGTTAGTGGGTCATCCCGGGCAATGCCCGGCCTGCGGGACACGGAGCACGTCGCCCAACGGGAAGCCTGCAATCGATGCGATGCTTTCGACCATCGCGCACGAGATCGCAGAGGCCGCGACCGACCCCGACGTTGAGAGCGGATGGTTCGACGATGAGGGCGAGGAGAACGCGGACAAGTGCGCGTGGAGTTTCGGCGCCACGAAAACGTGTCGCGACAATCGCGGCAAGACGTACGAGTACAATCTGGTCGGGATGAAGGGCATGCGGTTTCTGATCCAGCAGAACTGGGACGTGCTGACGAACACGTGCGTGATGCAGAGGAAGTAATAGGGAGAGGAGGAATGGCGAAACGCGGACGGCGTGCCTCGCCTCAACGCCCAAGTGTAGAGCTGCACTGCGCGTGCGCATGATTTAGATGAGCAGGATCGAGTGGAGGGTGCGGTCATCGTCAGGCTCTGAATCTGATCCTAGGAAATTTCTGCTGAAATCCCGCCATGAAGATTATTATAATATTTACACGGAGTTTACCATGTAAGTGTTGATGCCAGGCTATCTATTTCCTACCACTCGTTGCGCTCCTCCTAGTCCCTCGCTCTGTTTCCCTGCCCTTGCCTCCCGCTGCCGGTCTGGTGGAGGAATGCCAGCAGAGCAGTGCCTGCGATCAGTGGGCGCAAAGAAATGGAGCAGGGGGGACGGGGGAGTAGGGGGGAGGTTAGGGGAGAGCTAGGTTCCGCAATGGTTGGGCGCAAATGGGGTTCCACATAAAAGATGGGCGGAAACGAGGGCCTCCGCAATAGAGGGCTTCGTAATAGGGATTTCTAGATTCGAACCTGAAAGAGGCATTTCCTCAACAGAAAAACAGTAATCTTGCATTAAGTAGTTACATATCTACGTGGACTGTTCTGCTCGTTACGGATCGAGGTCCACTCCACGCGGGGCCCATTGAGAGGCCATCACCCGTGCTTTGACCTGGACGTGACGCGATGATCCCAAGAGCTTTGACAGAGCTTACGCTGCCACGTGTCAAGATGATTGGCTCAAGATGATCACTGCCCTGTCAGGAGCATCAGCAGAGGCGAAGTCGATCCTCAGATCCAGCCCGTCAGCAACCTGCTTCAGGCGATTTCACAACAAATCTCGTCCGTCGAAACAAATTTCCCCGTCTCCCCACATCTCACTCCCTCAGCAATTCTGCTTCCTCTCTCACTCCCCCTGACCACAAGCCTTGGGATTTCAGCCTTCAGCAAGCCCCTAGATTCTATCTCCGATGCCCCCTTGATTTGAGATTGCCTCACATCAGGCAATCAGTCTTTGCCTGGACCCCCAGTCAATCTCTTCCACCAGTTTCACTTCCCTGGTCAGAGAATTTGGTCTCAGTCGCCTGATCACACGAAGGAGGCACTTAGCCGATTCCGTGAAATTCTGACCAGGTTCGGAAATTATGGAGGCTGTCGCAGTCGCTCCTCGCGTGCCAGTTGCGATCTCCCAGCGATCCGCTGTCGCAGGAGCTTCGAGCCAGCGTGCTCGTTCCCTCGCAGCTCCCCAGCAGCAGCGCTGGCGACGCCTGTCTTCCTCGTCGTCGAGCGTCGCAGGAGCATCGCTCGTGAAATCTGTCGCACAGGCTCGCGGTGCTAGGATCGCAAAGGCGTCGTCGTCGTCGCGTCTGGTCGTAGAGGCGAAGGACGAGTCGTTCGACTACGACCTGATCATCATCGGCGCCGGCGTCGGTGGCCATGGCGCTGCTCTGCACGCCGTCGAGCAGGTATGGCTTTAAGGCGTATGGCTGACGATCAAGTGAAGGAAGAACAGCAAACTCTGTCAGCAAATTCTGCCGTCAGATTAAGGCCTCGCCGAAGAACGACTAGCAATGTGTGTCACTCGTAGGCTTTCTTCTTTCATGACGTCCACATCGATGTTTCGCGGCGGCCCTTTTTGACGCTGATCAACCCGCCTGTCCTTTCAAATATCGACGCTATCTGGTCACCAGGGCCTGAAGACAGCCATTATCGAGGGTGACGTTGTCGGGGGCACGTGCGTGAATCGCGGGTGCGTGCCGTCGAAGGCGCTTCTGGCCGTCAGCGGTCGCATGCGCGAGCTCAAGGACGAGCATCACCTCAAGTCGCTCGGCATCCAGGTAACACCGGCAGTAGGGAACTGTTATTATGCTACCTGCTAATACTGCGTATTCTCGAAACTCAAATTGGTGCACAAGTTTGACCTCTTAGCGGTCGCGTGCGCGAGCTCAAGGACGAGCATCACCTCGTCGCTCGGCATCCAGGTAACACTGCATGGCCGGAAGTGCTCGAGTGGTACTTGATAGTACCGCGTAATCATTGTCACATGTTTGACTTGCCAGCGGTCGCATGCACGAGCTCAAGGACGAGCATCATCTCCAGTCGCTCGGCATCCAGGTACTACAGGTCGACCGGAACCTGTCGCCTGAATCGGACCAAAATAAATTGCACACCCATGAACCTGAATCATGGTTGCAAGTTCAAAAGCTCGGCTTATAAGCTTCGTCAGTACACATGGTCGGGTGACTGTCGTTCCGCTCCTCCCTTGCCCCTTCAGGTCGCAGCAGCGCAGTACGACCGGCAAGCCGTGGCGGACCACGCCAACAACCTGGCTGCTCGCATCAGAGGCAACCTCACCAACTCGATGAAGGCCATTGGGGTCGACATTCTCGACGGCTTCGGCACCCTCGTTGTAAGTGCCACGCACTAACGCTCGCTTTGCTTGACTTTCCGCTCCCTACACCTGACCCTCCCTTGGTAGTGTTCTCTCTTTCAAACCCCTCACTTTCAGTCCCTACGACCTGTGCTCTCTTTTCATCCCCCACCGTTGTGACCTTTTATCCGGGCCTTGACATACCGGCGTCATATCCAGAATCTTTCGGACACCATGTTACCCACAATAGATCACACAGAAGGTGAAGTACGGCAAGCCAGGCGCGCCGGAGAAGACAGGCGTGCCAGTGTCGAAAGGCGCGCCGGTATCACTTGTCATACCTGAACCATATGCTGGCCCCTTTCATCCCAACTCCACCAACAGACCCCCCAGAAGGTGAAGTACGGC